GTTTAAGTACATTAGAAGCAGGAAGCCTGCTAAAAAACCTGTGGGTCCCCTAGATGATCAAGCTATAAAAGGAGCAATCAAGGACAATAAAGCCATTGCGGAGAAACTAAATGATTTCTTTGCTTCAGTCTTCACGGCTGAGGACATTGGGGAGATTCCTGAATCTGCACCGTCCTTTGTGGGTGATGAATCTGAGGAACTGTCCCGGATTGAAGTGTCATTAGAGGAGGTTTTAGAACAAATAGAAAAACTTAATGTTAACAAATCTCCGGGACCGGATGGCATTCATCCAAGGGTTCTAAAAGAACTCAAATGCTTTGTCTGGATCAGGCAAACTGAATGAAATGAATATGTCTACCCTTACATTTTAAACTGATTTTACACTTTTTAATTTAATTTCTACAGGTGATGACATGTGTTTGGTGCAATAAAAAGGGACTTTTGGCAACCAGTGGGAATGATGGAACTATAAGAGTGTGGAATGTAACAAAGAAGCAATATTCAGTACCGGGCAAATTAGTCGAAACAATAGTAAAGAATAAAATTGTGAAGCATGTAGAAGAACATAATTTGTTGGACAAAAGTCAACATGGTTTCTGTAAAGGGAAATCCTGCCTTACTAATCTGTTAGAGTTCTTTGAAGGGGTTAACAAACATGCGGACAAGGGGGATCCAGTAGATATAGTATACTTGGATTTTCAGAAAGCCTTTGACAAGGTCCCTCACTAAAGGCTCTTGTGTAAATTACAAGGCCATGGGATAAGAGGAAAGGTTCTTTCTTGGATTGAGAACTGGTTAAAAGACAGGAAACAAAGGATAGGAATAAATGGTAAATTTTCAGATTGGAGAGGGGTAACTAGTGGTGTTCCCCAAAGAGTCAGTCCTGGGACCAATCCTTTTCAACTTATTCATAAATGATCTGGAGAAAGGGGTCAGCAGTGAGGTAGTAAAGTTTGCAGATAAGTGTAAAGTAATGCACATTGGGAAAAATAACCCCAACTATACGTACAGTATGATGGGGGCTAATTTGGCTACGACAAATCAGGAAAGGGATCTTGGAGTTATCGTGGACAGTTCTCTGAAAACTTTCACACAGTGTGCAGTGGTGGTCATGGGAAAAATAACCCCAACTATACGTACAGTGTGATGGGGGCTAATTTGGCTATGACAAATCAGGAAAGAGATCTTGGAGTTATCGTGGACAGTTCTCTGAAAACTTTCACACAGTGTGCAGTGGTGGTCAAAAAGGCGCATAGGATGCTAGGAATTATCTATCCCTTTCCTAATAAGACCCAGAATATCTTACTGCCCCTGTATACAACTATGGTACGCCCACATCTGGAATACTGTGTACAGATGTGGTCTCCTCACCTCAAAAAATATATTTTGGCCTTGGAAAGGGTTCAGAAAAGGGCAACTAAAATGATTAGGAGTTTGGAACAGGTCCCATATGAGGAGAGGTTAAAGCGACTGGGACTTTTCAGTTTAGAAAAAAGGAGACTGAGGGGGGATATGATAGAGGTCTATAAAATCATGAGTGGTGTGGAGAGGGCCGATAAAGAAAAGTTATTTATTAGTTCCCTAAAGAGAAGATCTAGAGGTCACCAAATGAAATTAATGGGTAGCAGGTTTAAAACGAATAAAAGAAAGTTCTTCTTCACACAGCGTGTAGTCAACCTGTGGAACTCCTTGCCAGAGGAGGCTGTGAAGGCTAGGACTATAACAGAGTTTAAAGAGAAGCTAGATAATTTCATGGAGGTTAGGTCCATAAAAGGCTATTAGTCAGGGGATAAAATGATGTCCTTGGCCTCTGTTTGTCAGAGGCTGGAGAGGGATGGCAGGAGACAAATCGCTTGATCATTGTCTTCGGTCCACCCTCTATGGGGCACCTGGTGCTGGCCACTGTTGGTAGACAGGATACTGGGCTAGAAGGTCCTTTGGTCTGACCCAGTACTACCGTTCTTATGTTCTTATGTACAGCAGCACAGCTATGGCGCTGCAGTGCCAGGATGTCCACGCTTTCTGTATTGACAGAAGGAATGTTTTTCTCTGGGTGTGGTTAAATCAATAGAAGAATCCTTCTGCTAACATAGCTGTGTGTATCCCACGGGTTAGATTAACCTAACTACAGTGCTCAGGGTGTAAATAGACTAGACCAGTGTTTCTCAAACTTTGCTCCGCAGAGCCCCAGGGCTCCATGAGACATCTCCAGGGGCTGCGCAAAGTTGACAAACTGGAAACATCGATAGGTACAGCACATACAATCAGTGGACCACTGGGGCTCCACATAAATTTTTACGCATGTAAAGGGCTCCGGAGCCCAAAAAGTTTGAGAACCACTGGACTAGGCGTTAGCGTATGCACACTGAACAATGACTAATCCTTGATCCTTTTTCTTCAGTACAGGTTAAACCTCTAAAATCCAGAACACTCTGGTCCAGCCAACATCCATGGTCCAGCGGGACCACAGATTGATCAGAAAGCCCTGTCTGGCCAGGTTCAGGGGCTGGGCTGGCAGTGTAGAATGCAGCTCCGACAGCAGCAGGCCAGCAAGGTGGGGTGGAGAGCAGAGCCCCCAGCTGAGGCTGCTGGTGGGGAGTGCAGTTCCACTGAGTGCCGCTCCACTTGGGCCAGAGACAGTGGGGCTGGTGGCACCTGGGAGCACAGCCCTAGCTGGGCTGGAGGCAACGGGGTCTGGTGCCCCCAGCATGGTGGGGAGGACAGCCTATCTCCAGCTGGGTCAGTGGGGGAGCAGAGCTGACAGCTGGGAGGGGAGCCTTGACCACCTCCCTTGGTCAGGCAAACTCCGTGGTTCGGGACTGCTCAGGTCCTGAGGGTGCTGGACCATTGTACTTTTTGCCTAGGTGAGGGAAAAGTGGGTATTGGGCAGGGAAAATCCCTTTGTTGCATTGTGTTTGTATATAACTTTTTATTCACACATCAACTATGATGCTAATGTATTTTGATCTATCTAGCATTCTGCTGATTGCCTTGTCCACTTTCTAAATAGGCTCTCTGTTTACTGCCTTAGTCAACCACACCTTTGCTTCTGATACTCTCACCTCTGAACTGTCACTCTCCATCCTTATCTTGAACATCTCCTTTCAGATTAATAACACTTCTTAATTCTCAGATCGCTCCACTGGCTCCCATATCCACTCTGCATCAAGTTTGGACCTTCATGGATTTGCTTCACCTGATCATTCTCTCTTTTCCATTCCCGTGCATAGTCATGCCACTGGTAGTGAGAGAGCCTGTCTCATTATGGCTCCTGCCACCCAGAACATCTGCTTGTGATTAGCCTCTCTTCTATTGCCTCTATCCTTTTGTATTTCTTGTTGCTATTCTTTTTAAAAGCTTTGGGAGATGCTTTATGTGAAAAAGGTTGTACAGTGTAAAATAGTGTTGAATTTAGTGACCAGAACTGCTGGAGAAAGGGGGCTAAAACTGTCAAATTACTGTTCTTTGCAGGAGGCTTTGAAGGCTAGCTTGTATTCTACATGCTAATATAATGCCAAAAGCCAGGAGTAGGGTTGGGTACAGAAAGAGCTTGCTTATAGAATGCATAATAAAGAATGGGCCAATGTAATTTGGCCAAGAGGAGATGATATGGGAAGAGAACCAGGAAAATATGGAACATATTGTCATTTGGGAAGCTGAAACTGGATCAGTTATTTTAAAACACAGATGCAGCTTTTTGTAAGGGTCTTTGAAGTGAGTTTTGGGAAAGGAGATATGTGGGTTGAAGGATGAAAAGTGGGAGAGTAAATTGAGCAGAGATAGGAGAGGTGTGGAGGACCTCGACTGAGAGCAGGGAGCTTGCATTGGGTTCAGAAGACAAATTGGGATTAGGTGAAGGGATTTTAAGGCAGGTCTGAAAATGGCTGTGGTGCCAGCAGGAGAGAAGGTTTTTACAACAGGTTTGGATACGTTGTGTGGGGTGAGCCTCTTATTTCAGGAATACCCGAGATACAGAGAGCACGATAGCGAAGCCACCCGCAGTTGGTTATCTTTAATTGGAAAATGCATAAGGAAAATATCTTTGTAGGATGCCTTGGGATCCTTCAGGCAAAGTGTTGTAGGTCTGTTGGGCGCTAGTGAAATATATGTTGTGCATGCAACCTGAGCAGACACATGTGGTTTTGTATACAGTGAATAGAAATGAATGGGCTTGACTAGGGATCTAATAGTGTAGTCAGTCAACTGACTAACTTGATAAGCAAAAGCTTATCGGTTAATGCTATAGACTACACGCATTTCCATCCCCACCTTCCAGCCACTAAATTTTTTAGCAGGCTGGCCAGCAGCCCAACCCAGCTCAGTTCTGGCTCATGCTGGGCCCGGGACCTACTCCCGCTATGGCTCTGCATTTAAAGTGTATTAGGAACTGAGTTCTGGCTCATACCTGGTCCTGGGTCCAGGAGCTCAGCCTCCCCTCCCGCCCCCCACCTTCCAATGGAGCTGCTGCCACCCTGCACTGCTGCCTCTGTATCCACTGGCTGTCAGCCCCACTCCTGGGGACTATAGAATAGTTGAGTAACCAATAAGAATTAATTAGGTTAATCGACTATTAAATTAACCGATAATTAACATCCCTAGGCTTGACGCCTGCAGAGCTATTGTCTTCCTGACATTTTCTAAATGGCAGCCAAATGTCCCAGTCATCTCTCATTTCTGATTTCCTTTGTGAATTTCTCCACGTATTGAGTTTCTTTGAATTTGATACAAGGGTTGGAATATAACATCACTGTTGGCATTCTCCTTGTACTCTTGAAAGCTAACTCTTAAGTTCCTAGGGGAAGTCCTGAGTGAAAAGATGGAAATGGCTGTAAAGGTGCTACCTATCCCTCAAAGGTGCATATTTTGGTAGCTATCTGACATGGTTCTATATTAGGAGTGGGGCATAAATCCCATTTATTTTTGTCCCCAGCTTTGTGCAATTTAATTATGTTGACACCAACTGAATTATGACTATTGCAATAATATCTTCCTTCCTTCAGTATCAAGTGGGACAGCTGTATTCTGTGGCAGAAGCCAGTAAAAATGAAACTGGTGGAGGTGAAGGAGTGGAGGTTCTCATGAATGAACCCTATGAGAGAGATGGAGAACGTGGTCAGTACACACACAAGATCTACCACTTACAGAGGTATGTGGCATGGAGAAATGGCCTATTTACAGCTGTGAGGAAACTGTATAAATAGGGTACAATTTAGGAAACTACTACATAGTTAGAGTTCATACAAGCATTCATAGATTCACAGCAACTGGAAACAGTCATCCTACCTGCCCATGCTAGGGGTTGCTGTTGCAGTGAAAGAAAAGAACCCAGGGACTGTTTCCTGGACTGCAACAGTTGCCAGTGGGACTAACGCTGTCACCCTCCATCACAAGAGAAGTTCAGAGCTCTCCCTGGTTTTTGGGTGGGGGAGTAACATGGGGTGAAAAAGAAAACAGGTAGTCATGTAGCATGAGTTGGGTTGGTGATGGAGCTACATCTCAGGGTATCAGCATGAAACTGATGAACAATTGCAGAGGATGAGGGTGGTGGAAAGGTACAGAAGAGATGGGGCTAGATGTGACATTTGGGGTGCAATCTGGACCTGTGAGGGAATTCACGCTATCTGCCTTGTAGTTCCAAGGGTATCAATATGCTTTCCTGGTGTGCTCTTGTCAGAATGCTTCCAGACAGCAGTCAAGCATGCAGCCCTGGTTCACTGCTCTGAGCCCAGCTGCCTGCTCACAACACAATAGCCTTGCTGCTTGGCTACTACTGGCAGAGGTGACCCCAACGGACTTCCAGTCCTAAATTTTCCCAAAACCTTGTGCTCTGCCATTATCAGCCCTATCCTGGAGTATTCAGAGAGGTACTAAAGTTAGTGTGTTTTAAAGTGATAAAAACCCATTACAGCTTATTTATTTAACTTGGGATAAATCCATCCTTCCTTTCACAGCACTGAGTTAGTTTATCATAAAAATAAAACAGGTTTATTAACAAGAGGGCCATAGGTTAAATGCCAAGTACTGTAGAAGAAATCATTAGAAAGCCTTACAAACAAAAGTAGAAATCTATTTTCCCAATGGCTAAGACCTAACTTATGTTAGTCTGTGTTCAAGGACCTTACACGCTTCAATTCCATCAGCCCTGTTGGTCTTTCTCAGCTGGCTGCAGCTGTGGCCTCTGGGTCTGTCCAGAGGTGGATGCCAGCATTCCTTTCCCTAAATGCTTATAGCTTCCTAAACAGAGTGTCCCCAGACTCAGAATGACTTTATGTTGTTCTTCCCTTCCCATGCACCGCTGATCCCCTGATTTGTATGGAAATGGGCATCCCTTGTTTTTGGTCATACCTTGCCTAGTTGTCTACCTGACTCCCTTCCTGTCGGGGAGGGAATCAGTTAACAGGATATGAGGAAATACAAATACTTACTACATACATTTCATAATATTATTAATCACCATGGTGTCATTAGCTTTGAGAAGACCTTACTTGATACTTTTGTAATACAGGTTGGATCTCTCTGTTCTGGCACCCCTGGGACCTGACCGGCTCAAACAAGGGAATTTGCCAGACCAGGGGAGATCCCCTGCTGCCAGTCCTAGCTGCCCCCCCGGCTGCCAGTCCAGGCTGCTGCATCCCCCCACCCAGCCCCGCAGCCGGAGCTGGCAGCCTCTTGCCACTGGGGCTCCCAGCCAGGACTCTCTGGTCTGGGAACATCTGTGGTCTAGCAGGACGACAGAGTCCCGGTTTTTGGAGGTCCAACCTGTATTGTTTGCAATCAGATGATTCAATTACTTATTTGAGGTTAAGACCCCATGTTTTTATAGAAAAATGCTATCTGCTTCCTGGGCTGTAGATGCCATACTGTCGTTGTCTTGATAGTTTTGCTTACCTTGTGTGAAGACAGAATCATAGGATTGGAAGGGACCCTGCACAAATGGCAGGACTAAGTTCCCTGTAAGCTGCATGGCCCCCCAGCTGCCTGTTTTGCCCTGCACAGATGCTCAAGGAAACTGCCCAGGGACCAGCTGCAGCTAATGGAGGACTGCAGCTAGTCCAGCCTCTAACCTCCTGTGGACAGGGCAGTAAGAGGGGGACAGCCTGAAGTCAATACCAGACCAAACATGCTGTGACTGGTGTTCCTCTCTCCTTGCTCTGGGCCCAGCCGTGGCCCTGGCAGTTTCACCCAGCTCCACCCGACGGAATGTGCTGTAGTTGGGGTACCTCTGCCCCAGCTGTGGCCCAAACCTGGCCCTGGACTCAGGCAGCCTGGTTCCAGCTCAGCCCTGGCTTGAACCTACCCCAGGGTATGATAGAAGTGCCTATCCTGCCATTCCACCCTTGGAGCTGCCATGGTTGGGAGAGGTGCTGCTGTCACTCAGGTGCTGTTGCTGCAAGGAGAGAGAGGTATGGGGGTGGGGTGGGGAGGAGGTAGTCCTTGCAGTAGCCCTGGAGCACCCTGCTTCACCCTAAACCTCATAACCCAAACCCAGCTGGAGCCCTCACTCCCCTGCATCCTTCTGTTCCAGCCCTAAGCCCCTCTTTCCTAGCCCCATCCCAGAGCCTGCACCCAAGCCAGAGTCCTCACACTGTTGCATCCTAAGTACCTGCCCCAGGCCTGAGCCACCTCCCACACTCAGAACCCCTTGATCCCGACCTCGCCACATGATTTTTGCTGTATGCACCAATATGAAGGTGATGTGTTGCACATCCCCTCTGTAATGGTGCACATAACAAAATTCATTCTGCCCGGGTGGGAAAAAGTAGAGGGAACACTGCTGGCAGGTGTCTGTCTAACCTGCTCTTAAATCTCCATTGGTGGAGATTCCACAGCTTCCGTGAACAATTTATTTTGGTGTTTGCCCATCCTGACAGGATTTTTTTCCTATGAGGCCATGCAGCTGCCTAATAAGCCCTGTGCAGGGGCTCAGGGCTGTTGCAGCCTGGGGAAAGGCCAGGCTCCTCCAGCCCCAGCAACAGGGCCACATTAGAAAGGGGTATTAGAGACTGCAGCCCAGGGGAGCCTCCTTAGCCAGGACCCTGGGTTGCAGTCCATAAAGCCCCTGTGTTCTGGGCTAGGCCTTTTTGGCATGGGGAAGGGGTAGAGGGCTGCTTCAGCATCCTGGCCTGTGCAGCCCCTCTCTGGGGGGGGGGGGGGGGCAGGGGATGGAGGTGCTCTAGCCCAGTGAGGAGATAGGGGACCACTCCAGCAGGGTTGGAACAGCCCTCCTGCTTGCTCCCCTTTAATTGGTTAACTGGTTAAACACTAAGTGGGATTTTACATCACTAAAGTAAATGCCTCCCAGCCATAACCTGCCTCTGGAATCCCAACTCACTCCCAGACCCTGCATCCCTTCCTGTACCTCTCCTCTAGGCCAGAATCCTCTTTCACCCATACCCCCTCCTGGATCCTGCCCCAAATCACAACCCCCTCCTGCACCCAAATTTCCTCTCAGAACCCACACCCTCTCCTATACTTCAGTCCCCTACCCTGAGTTCCCTCCTGCACCCAACTTCTATGTCAATCCCCACTGCCTCCATAGAAAAGTGTGCCCCTTGACCACTTACCAAAATCTTGGAGTGGCCTCCATCAAAAATTATTGCCCACCCTGCTCTAGATAGACTTTTGCTGTCTTGGCCTCTAACAGACAAATACACACATCTTTGTCTAGGGGTGGACTGGGCTTATTCTTTTTCTTACCAAACATTTTAAGAATATAATTCCAGCACACACTCATAACTCTTTGTATACTCCAAGTGCACATCCCACACAAGAATGTTAATAATCAGTGAGGTATTAGTTTTCCGATGATATCTTACATGCCACCTTTTATTTACAGCTTATGACAAGTGTGTTAGGTGTAGTGAGTCAGGCTTGAGAGAGTAGTGAATCACAGATAAGCCTCTGTCACATGCACCTAGGAAGAAGGCTTTGAAATTAAATTACTCGATGCTAGCTTTTTGTTCTTTGCAAAACAGTGAAGCGCTAAAAATGGATGAATCTCTTTGCTAGCCTTAGTTTTCCATGTAAGCAATGGTTGTTTGACACTGGGATGCTTCCTTATAGAAAACGAGGTGGTGACTGAGGTGGTGTGAGGACAGGAGGCATCCACAGGGCTCTTTATTAGGAAGTGGTCCATCGTGCATAAAAATTTGAGACTCTCAGTATGAAATATTTTCCTTCAGCGGCTTGTCGATCCTGCTGTGACCAAAGTCTGGGGGATAAGCTCAGATGTTTTCTGCATCCTGTTAGGTTATGGTGAGGCATAGCTGGAAATAATAAGAGTAAGTAGCTTGGGTTGTGCTATGGGGCCATGGACATTAGAGCAGACTAATAGTTGGGAAAGATGGTAGGAGCTAAGTGGTTTTGATTCTTCAGGTTACAATATCAGAGCTTATCTCCAGTTGTACAGTCCAGGTGTCACTAATGGGTTCTCTTCCTATCATGGACATGGCTGCTGTCTGAGGAAATACAAAACCCATTAATTATAACCCTGTTATCCACCATCACGGTGGTGAAGTTTGGATGGAAAAATGCTTCCAAGTTGTTAGCCTGCATTAAACATCGGGTGTCCTCTTGTTCTCTTGTAAGAGGCATCTGGCTTGTATGCATTCAGCCAGTGTCTGGGTGTCCTACTAACAGAACAATGAACAATCCTAGTGACCGTGACTCTGCAAACACAGACACATGCAGGGCATGGGGTCTGTTTCAGGGTAGGTGCCTTGCCTGTATCAAGCAGTGTCTGAGTCAGTTACTAGAACATGGATGTGTAAACGTTAGTCTTGCTTCTCCTGTTTCCAAACTGCAGCAAAGTACCGTCATTTGTGAGAATGCTGGCCCCAGAGGGAGCCCTGAACATACATGAGAAAGCATGGAATGCCTACCCCTACTGCAGGACTGGTGAGTACTGTGGAAGGCCTGCACCATGGGGATGCCTTTTTTTAAACCAAAAAGTGGAAGTTTTTGATGTTGCTCCTGCCTATAGCGCATAACCCTTCCTGTGGGTCAGGAAAACGAAACCTTAGTTAGAGCTAAAGGGGAGTTAAAAGAAATGTCCTTGCCTGAAGTTGACAGTGCAGAGCTCCCGCTAATGAGCAAGGAGTCCAAAATAGTCTGAGGGTAGGCTAGAGTGAGAAGGGGCAGAAGTAAGAAATGCATGTGATACTGTAGGTTTGGAGAAAGGGAGTTGGTAGAGGGAGAACCCTGGTACGACTGGACTGTGAATGGTCATTCAAGTGACTTGGCAGCACATGTGTGACACGCACTGTTATGAACAGTAGTGCAGTGGAAGAATTCTGGTCAGACATTTGAAGGAAATGGTGCAAGAGAAGAGCTGGTGAGGACCTGGTTATCTTTTGCTCAATGCAGTTTGAAGGGAACAGTATTATCATTTACTGGTGAGAATCACTGTGGCAGGATAGATCCAGGGTGGTAAAATTGGAACTGGCATTATAAATGGTGTGTTGCCATTAGAGCAGCAGGCTTTTTGGGTCTCCCTGGAAAAGCAATAGCATTCCACTACTAATATAAAATCTCTTCCAGCAAACAGTTGGACTAGAACTCTGCTGAACTCTAAGATGGTGTCTTTGAATCAGCTTGAGGTGGATTATGAAGATGACACAATCCCTTTTCACTTTAATGGGAAAGAATATTTAAAATCAGTCTGGAAAAAGTGTTGCTACATAGCATGGTTAAGAACTTCAGTGGACAAATCCTATATAGGAACAGCCAGACTGATTCATCCATCTAGCCCAGTATCCTGTCTGCCAACAGTGGCCAATTCTAGGTGCCCCAGAGGGAGTGAACAGAACAGGGAATCAAGTGACTCCTCCCCGTCACCCATTCCCAGCCTCTGACAGAGGGTTGAGGATACCATTCCAACCCATCTTGGCTAATAGACATTAATGGACCTACCCTCTATAAAATTATCTAGCTCTTTGTTGAACCCTGTTAGTCCTAGTCTTTACAACATCCTCTGGCAAGGAGTTCCACAGGTTGACTGTGCATTGTATGAAGAAATACTTCATTTTGTTTGTTTTTAAACCTACCTGTTAATTTCATTTGGTGACCTCCTAGTTCTTATGTTATGGGAATAAATAAATAATTTTTCCTTATTTACTTCATATTAGTCATGATTTTATAGACCTCTATCACATCTCTCCTTATTTGTCTCTATTCTAAGCTGAAAAGTCCCGGTCTTAATCTCTCCTCATATGGCAGCAGTTCCATACACCTAACCATTTTTGTTGTCCTTTCCTGACGTTTTTTTCAATGCCAATATATCTTTTTTGAGATGGTGACACATCTGCACACAATATTCAAGATGTTGGTGTACCATGGATTTGTATAGAGGCAATATGAGATTCTCTGTTCTCTCTCTTTTTTTAATGGTTCATTACATTGTTTGATTTTTTTACTGTATTTTGAGTGGTGTACCAGTTAACTTAGTCCTGATCATTTTATATGCATATTCATCATTTATCATTCCTACAGTAACAGTAACTTGATCTCCTTGAGTTTATGTAGTAATTGGGTTTATTTGATATGTTGTTAAATTTATCCTTTGGCAGAAGTACAGCTGCTCTGGGAACTAATATTCACAATTTCCTGACCTTTGCGCTTTAAATTTTTAACTGCATTATTTCATTAATGGCTTTTTTTCTGCATGAATTTCCTTCTTTTATAAATGAGGGTGAGTGAAAAGGAAATAGAGAAAGGAAAAAAATTAAATCTAATTTCAGAATGTGATTAAACTGCATGTATTGCTGTTGTGTTTGAGACTACATTCAAACATATAGGGCTCGTCTACACTGGCCCCTTTTCCGAAAGGGGCATGTTAATTTCACAGGTCGTAATAGGGAAATCCGCGGGGGATTTAAATATCCCCCGCGGCATTTAAATAAAAATGTCCGCCGCTTTTTTCCGGCTTTTAGAAAAGCCGGAAAAGAGCGTCTACACTGGCCCCGATCCTCCGGGAAAAAAAGCCCTTTTCCGGAGGATCTTATTCATAGTAGGAATACTTGGCATTATTTCATATACCTGAGAACATCAAAACACATGAAGTGAGTATTGAAATGGTCACAATTTAAAGAAAACTTCACGTATTTGTTTCAATGGATGTTTGAATCCAACAGTGGGCACCTGTCAGAATGGTTATCCAGAAGAATCTAGTCAGTTTTTTCAGGCTTAACAAAGCCTTATTGGATATGTCTACATTGTAAGATCTCTAGAAAGGTCTTTTGGCATTGGAAAAATTTCAGAAAAGGGCAACAAAAATTAAGGGTATGGAACAGTTTCCAATGAGGAGTGATTAATGAGATTGGGACTTTTCAGTTTGGGATAGAGACTAAGGGGTGATATGATAGATATAAAATCATGAGAGATATGGAGAAAGTGAATAAGGAAGAGTTATTTATTCCTTCCCATAACACAAGACTAGGGGTCACCAGTGTTCCCTATAGACTATGCACTTGTATGGCCACTCAAGATTCAGATGCCATCCAGCTGATTAGCATAATGCACACAACTATGTTTTTTTGTTTTGTTTGTTTCTGTTTGTGGTGCACATTCACATGTGTCTTGGTGCACAGAATACATTTTTATGTGTATGGATTGAAAAAATCTGAATAGGTACGGAAAAGATTACAGGAAACATTGGGGGTCACCAAATGAAATTAATAGGTAGCAAGTTTAAAACAAACAAAGGAAGTTTTTTTTTATTTTATTTTATTTTTTAAACTACACAACCATAGTCAACCTGTGGAACTCCTTGCAGAGGACATTGTGAGGGCCAAGATTTTAACGGGAGTCAAAAAAGAGCTATTTAAATTCATGGAGGACAGGTCCATCAATGGCTATTGGCCAGGATGGGCAGGAATGGTGTCCTTATCCTCTGTCAGAAGCTGGGAATGGGCAACAGGGGATGATGGATCACTTGATGATTCCCTGCTCTGTTCATTCCCTCTGGGGCACCTGTCCTGGCTACTGTTGCAAGACGGGACACTGGGCTGGATGGACCTTTGCTCTGACCCACTCTGTCCATTCTTAAGTTAAGTGCACACCTGGGGCTGGCCAGTGTCAGTTGGTGTCTCCTTACCCCCCTTGTGGGGACCTAGAGCCAGGGCTCCTGCCCATGCCTAAACCTCTTCACTGCAGCTCAATAGCTCCCTAGCCCCAATCAGCTGACACAGGCCAGCTGCATGTGTTTCACTGCAGTGGAGGCCATACTGATGCTTCCCTGCCTGGTGACTGGGCCACTTTTGACATTCATAAACAGAGAAAGCAAATGTAAAAGGACACTATCGTATTAAAAGTATTTTTTCTAAACTCTTAACTGCTACTAAGATTGTTTGAGTATCCCAAATTTTGATCTGAAACTTATTTTTCACATTTTATGCGGTTTACTTTTTTTTACCTTTCACTCAGTTTGGACCATGAATGGGGAACAGTTTCACTTTCTGGTTCTGTACTAATGGTGCTGAAGGACTTGGGTTGCAAACATGGCCAGGAATATCTTAAGTCCAAACAGCTATTTCACTTACTCTTAAGTCATGTCAGCATTTCTATTAGCTTTCCATTTTCTCCTAAATAAAACCTAGTGTTGGGCCTAAACTTCCTGGCACTGTTCTTTGTCCTTCTTTAAAATTGGGGAGGGATGGGGGCTATATTGAGTTAACAGAACAAGGAAGCACCTGAACTATTTCTCCTTCCATCCCATCAGTACTCCAGTTCTCAAAGTGTCACACTGTTTTGCCAGTTTGTTCAAAACCTTTTCACCTGTGTGCTGAGAGCAAATAAAAACTTCCATCTTAAAGGGAAAACTTCCAGATTGTTTGAAATTGAAAATGATGGCATAGAATGAAAGAGCTTTCTCAGCTATCACTAATGCCAGTACAGATGGGTTCAAAACCGTTATTGAGGGGGCCAGAGCAGCAGACAGCTGCACACTCTCTAATGTGAGGGCTGACAAAAAAATCTGTTTCAGTAATATGCCAGGCCTGACTTAAATCAAGAAATGCTCAGAAATGCGGTTCTGAAGCTTCTGGTTAGTTGGGTTGGTAGTAACAGGGCAGCAGGGAAGAGAACTAGTTTGTATCTGGTGTGATGGCTTATGGTATTAACAATTCATCTCAGGAAAGATCAGGTCAGGTACTTAAGTCACAAGTAAACTGACATACATCGCTTCCTGCTACTCTCTGCCTGGATATGCAGCATAAAACACCGAACAGATTAGTTCAGGCTGATATGACTGACAAGCTTCTCAGTCAGACTGGCATAGGGTGGCCAAGGAGTTAGGGTTAGGCCTGAAGTGAATTCAGTTCTTAAAAACTGAATGAATTCTGCCCATACTATGCCTCATTCAAGTTGGTGTTCCCTCCTTCCACAAGTATTCAATTCATTTATCAAGCTTCACCAAAGAAAGAGCCTGTAAAAGTTTAGGCAAAATAATATTTTGAGTCACAACTACTGTTGCAATAGGAGGGAATTATTCAAAAGTTAGGAAATGCCAAAACTTAGGAGCCTAAAGTAATGCTGTCCCCTTTTGCATATGCATTGTGGTACTGATCACATACAGTATTCTTTACAAGACTGCTGCCTTGTTCAGTGCTAATATGGACAGTATGTGAAGCTCATCTTTTTTGCCACTTTCTCATTTACTACAGAAGTTAAAGGTTGTCTAGAGAAAGAAGCAAGGAACTTCTGAGAAGATAGTGCTGTGGTTAAGGCTCTGAACTAGCACTTAGAACAACTAGTTCTAGCCTTGGTTCTTCCAAAGACTTGCTCTGTGATGTTGGATGTCATCTTGCCAAAAATGTTCAGGAGTGTGAACTACTTGTGTATTCTTTATTTTCTGGGTGTCAGTCTGAGATTCCTGCAGCCCAACATCCAGAAGTACTCGGGACTTATAACTCCCATTGAGTTCAGCTGGAGCTGCAGGTCCCTCAGAAAATTCAGGCACTTCCTGTGTTAAGCTGGGCATCTACATTTAATGAGAATTTAAAAAAACCCACAACTTGGTTTGTCCCCACTGAATAAAATGGAGATGCTGCTTCAGGGGCATTATGAAGCTTCGTTCACAAATATTTGCATGGCGCACTGACATTGTGTTGGTCAGGGCCAAAGAAAAGACCTTTCACAGTGCTAAAAGCAGAAGGTTTTGTCAAAAGATGGGAAAGCTCCCATTTCTAACTCTATAAGCTTGGAGGTATTTGATTTGAAACCTGCCATTGTTTCTGGACTGAATATTGTCTATTTGGGCATGAAAAAAGTGTGATTTTTGGAGGAAAGAATTAAACATTATTGAGGTAGTCTGAATTGAAACTCCCTCACATAAATATAAAGACCACTTGTATGAGGTTTCAATCTATAACTTACTGTTTACAGTATTTCTCACTGAGATCTGGGTTTTCTCCAGATCTGCTCAGAGTTTTAGAACAGTTAAGTCAGTGGTGGACAACCTGTGGTCTGCAGGGTAAGCTGATTGCAGGCTGCAAGGAGTTTTACTGATATTGGCTGTTCTCAGGCTCTGCCCTTGGTAGCTCTTAGTGGCCACCTTCTCTGTTCCTGCAGACTGTCAACACTAGCAAAATGTCTCGCAACCTGCAGCCAGATTACCCTGAGGGGCTAATGGTTGCCCACCACTGGTCTAAGTCCTAGTAGAGGGGAACAATGTAGTAGGATAGGAAGAATGATCTTGTGAATAAGATGCTGGATTAGGATTTGAGATCTTGGTGCAATTACCAGCCCTGCCATAGACGTATTCTTTGTGCCTCCTTCCCTATCTGCATTGAGGACATTTCCTTCACAAGAGTGTTCTGGGATTAAATGTATTGATGTGAGGTGCTCAGGAACAATGATCTCTCTAATCTTTTCCATCCATGTGCAGAATACATTGTTTGTGCACCAAGATGTGAGAATGTGTATCACCAGAGACCCACAAACTTAGCTGTGGGTGCCCTGCTAATCAGCTGGGCGGCATTTGAATCTGAGTGGCTGCACAAGCACGCATTTTACGGGGAACACTGCACACTGGCTATGGTGATGAATGTGTATTTTATACATGGATATCCCCACGTATGTGTGTGTGAGCAGATGCAATACACCTGTGTTTACTATAATTCTAAATGCCTGTATGTTAAATATGGAAACCTAGTGGTCAGACCAGTGTATTTTCTATAATAATATTCAGATTTGTGTATTAGACATTTCTTGAACCTCTTGTGTCCTTTTTGTCCCTTTAAAAATAGTATTGGGTTGACAAAATTGCTTTCTTTAGTGGAGATCTTGTGAATCAGATTTAAGTGTCAAATTTTAGAGCCTTGCTCTAACTCAGTGGAAATCATTATTTTTATAATGGAAATACTGACAGGCCTTGAAGGCTCAATATGGAATGGACTATGGCCGTTACAAGATCTTCAGTTATTTTTCCCTCTGATAAATAATTGAGCTTTGCTATCCAAGGCGTCTGATTACCAGGATCAGGGAAGATGCAGAGGGTAAAGAGTCCAGTTACCACATGTAGGAGTGATAAGGTCTGCATTGGCTTAAAATGTAGCATTCGTTCAGTTGCAGAACTGGACAAAAGCTTATCTGCAAGGTGAAGAATGATTGATAAAAATGCAGTCAGCTGATCAAACTTACTCCATTTTCTTATCCAATTGGATGAAATCCAACAGCGAACAGTACAGCACATAATTAGTAGTGTTCTGGGTTTCACCACATTTGAGAATTTCCAGGTTTTGAGTGGGGTGAGGCAAGGTTATTTTTGACAGACTCTATACTCTGACTGGGAAAATGGGGTCTCTCCCTTCAGAGAAACTGGCAATTGCCTCTGAGCACTCTCCAGAATTGTCCCCTGGTTGCTGATACTGGGTGGAGGTGGCTGCAAGTGTAACTTTTCTTTCTCATTAATATGCTGTATCTCTTTCTTTTCATGTGTTCGTTTCTTGGAGCAGTTATTACAGTAAGTATTGCTTTAATTAGTAATCTGTTTTGCTTGGAAGTGTGTGTAAATCTCTGTCTGGAGCAAAGT